GTATGAGCGCCCGCAAGCCCGCCCTCCAGACCCCTCTGCGGGCCCGGGGTGGTGAGGAGGCCCATGACCTACAGCAGAAGCTGGAGGAGGTGCGGCAACCTCCGCCCCGGGTCGGGCCCGTCCCCTCCCTGGTGCCCCGGCCCCCAAGGCATCACCCGTCAAGTACGTTGGCAACATCTACACCTTCAAGTGCAGGCTCTGAGAGGTGGAATTCCAGGGGCCCCTCTCCATCCAGGAGGACTGGGTGCGGCACTTACAGCGGCACATCCTAGAGACGAATTTCCCCAAAGCGGACCCTCCGCCTGAGGAGCCCCAGGCCCCGCAGGCACAGACAACGGAGGCAGGGGCACCCTAACACAAAAGCATTCCGGATCCCCTCTTGTGCCACCTCTAGCTCCTCTTCCTCCTCAGTTTCCTCCTCTCTCTCTCCTCCCTCTTTCTTTTCCGTTTCCAAAGGAGCAAGCCTAAACCTCAAACCGGCACCCTTCAGGGGCCAGGCACTCTACAGCCGGGGCACCTGAAGCCAGCTAGCCGCCCTTTCCCTAGCCCGAGGACTCTGGGGCCACACAGGGCATCTTTCTTCAGCCCACCGGGTTCAGCAGAGGCAGCAGCCAGGTATCTGATGGCAGCCGATCTGTTCACAGGGGAGGAAGGCCAGAGCTCTCCCACGTCTAGCAGCCAGGCAGGCCTATGTTCGCCATCTGTGGCCATTTGCAAAGCCCCAAGGTCCCCTCCTGCCCTTGTGAATATCCTCTCACACACGCACGCGCACGTACCTCGTGAGACCCGGGAATCTGCCCCAGCCCTCCAGTTCCTGAGTCGAACAACGACCACGTCATGCCACCCGCTACCAGGGCCTGGGAGCGCCCCACTGAGCCCACAATGCCACGGAAATCCTTGTTGGCCGCCGCCCCAAGTGGGGCCTTCCTAGCTGGGAAGAGCTCAGAGCTGACAGCTGCCTCCTGCCCTGTCAAAACTCCTCCAGAGCCTCCTAGGCTTCTTTTCAATGTTGCTTTCTATGTATAGTTCCCTAGACCTTTCACTTTTTTAAAAACGCGTTTTGCATAGAGAGTAAGGAACGTGGATCTTTTCATTTTGCAATCCTGGGCCAGGTAGAAACCGGGAGCTGACTGACCTTTTAACTTTTTTCAGTGGCCACATTTTGGTTATCGATATACCTAGAAGTATGTAAATTAGATTAAAGTTCTCTTCTGGAAAAAAAATATATACCAGTCGAAATTTGTAGGACCCACTAAATCACTACTTAGAAGGAAATTTATAGATGTAATAAACTCGTATCTATCAGAAAACAAGAAATATTTTATACTAATAAGTTAAGTGCTTACATCAGGAAGTTGGAAAATGAACAACAGAGAAAGCCCAAAGAAATATGAAGGAAGGAAATAATAAATATAAGATGAAAATCAATAAAATACTGAAGAACAGCAACACCAAAAACAGAGAAATTTAGCTAAAGACCTGATCTTTTTTTTTTAAATAAGATCAGTGAAACAGACCAGCTTCTGGCAAGAATTAAAGGGGGAAAAAGTATGAGAGATAAACTGCAAATAAGCAAAATACAGAAAGAAATTAGAAATTTAAAATTATACTCACATATATACATATACCAATATATTTTGAAAACCTAGATAAAATGAACAAATGTCTATAAAAGTATATGAATGCCAAAAATTGATGTAAGATGAAATCTAGAATTTGAATGGATTAAAACCACTAGTGAAATTGGAAAAATAAGTTAAGAATTCACCTTTCCATACAAAAGGATAAGAATCCCCTAGCTCAAGACTGTTTTAGAAGTAAAGTCTACCACATTTTGTAGAAATACATAATTCTACCATATGTAGGTTGTTACAGGAAGTAGAAATAGAGAGAAAGTCAGTCAACTCACTTTATGAAGTCAGTGTAACCTGGATTCCAAAACAAAATGATGGTAGTAAAAGAAAATCATACCCATTTCATATATAAAAATGGATATAAAATCCTAAAAAAGAATAGCTAATGGAAACCAGCAGTATTTTTTAAAATAATATACCATAATAAAACAGGATTTATCCTGGGAATGAAGAATGGTTTTATAACAGAAAATCTGTCCATGTAAATCACCACATTAATGAACTAGAAAGGAAAAAAAAAACATACAACTATCTCATAGAAGTCTAAAAAGCATTTAGAAAAAGTAAACAACTATTTGTAATGTTTAAATATAAACTCTCATTTATAGCTTCTAAAATACTCATGCTATTGCTGCTGCATGTTCATGCTAGAATTTGAGGGCTTGCCTTCAGCTATACCCTCTGGAACTTGTTAAAGGCACTGTATTGCTACCTGCAGCAAACCTCATACTACAGTAACACTAAATGTACCCATTTTAAAATCAGGAAGTAGGCAAGAAAACCACTGTCACTATTATTGTTCAGTGTAATTTTGGAAGTCCTGGCCAATGCCATAACACAGAGAAAGAAGCAAGAGGTAAAAGTACAGAGAAGGAAGAGACTTTATTGTATAATTTTTTGCTGACAGCATGATTTCCTACTTAGAAAACCCTCAAAGTCAACAACCTGTCAGAATAAGAGAGCTAGTGGTTTCATTACACTAACAAAAATTAAAGAGAAAATATAATTTAAAAAATGACACTACTCACA